CTGTCAGTAGAGAATAACCTCATGTATCGTCGTTATTCAATAAAACCCCTCTAATGGAAACAGTGGAGTTTACTTGGAATGAACTAACAAAGAGGTACATAGAGACCTTAATTCCCCTATCCGTAATGAACTGTTAATTCTTAGATGTACGATAAATGTCCACAACCGATTTGACAATGAATACTATAGATATATGGATGGTGTAGTCGTTGGATCCTCTCTTGACAAACATTTTTTCTCTTGTAAAATCGGAAAATGAATCAATTAAAGATACAGTCAGCTATTTAACATCTTACTGCCACTACATAGATGATACTCTCATGGTATAAGAAAAGTAACATGAGAAGGATAATTCACTAAATATATTTGACAATATTCATCCATCTATCAATTATCGATTATGCTAGAATGATTTATTCTGATGAAATCATTTTAGATGAATTGCATAATATTCATAACGTCTAGCTTCAATTGACTCATGATCTCGACTGCTGAAACTACTACAATCTCCACAAAACCCTCTCTGATACTAATCAACATATGATCACTAGTGACTAGCTTCAAGAAATATATCGTGGAGTTCTAGTGAGAGGCAGTGACCAGTGGAGTTCAACCGGGTCTGTTGTGAGATAGTAACTCACTGATGACAATGATGGATGTGTCGCTCAATTTTGTGGATTAGTTGAAGTTAGACATTAACATCGTTGGATGCCGGCTCAGTGGTCTAGTGGTTAAGCGCATGGCGTGAGGCCGATAGGTCATGGGTTCGAATCTCTCAAGGCGGGGTCGTGGATGCTCACTGCTGAGGTAGTCCCACAATGGGGTGAAACGGCCGTCCAGTGTTTCCAGGTTTTCCATGGTGGTCTAGCTTCAATTGACTCATGATCTCAACTGTTGAAATAGATATCCAATGAAATTTATCAAGGACCATATAAATGAAATGAAAAGAAGATCGAATATGTCTGCCATTTTGAAGAAAGTACCGTTCTTAAAATTGTAATTCCTAAATGACACTACTGAGGAAATTGTAACTCGGTTTACTCAAAGATTAGCATGGCCCCTGCTCAAGGATCACGCGCAAGATCGTGGTACGGCCGAGAGTGAGAAGAGTCAACTCTTCCTCTCGAAATGCTCTTACATGACCACGTGCATACAACCACTCCAAAGGAAGTCCTTCTCACTCCCTTCTCGCACAATGGGTGTTGTTTGAGAAATCGAGAGGACGAAATGCGAATGTTCGGCGATTTAACCGGGTAGATGGCCACGGAGAGTTTACTTATGACAGTTGGAATACTCTGATTCCAAACCAATGATGAATATGGACTCCAGTACCCTGAAGGAACAAATGGAGTATGAATTAATCGTTGGTCACCGGTTACCATGGGAATGCATCTCCTTACTATGCTCCACTACCTTGTGGATCGGACCTTTAGGTCGAAGGCTCTGGGTGTGCCCCACTACCACCTAAGAAAATCACCTGCTTTGGTTTGGGCAACCAGGCAGTATCCCATCCCTCACATATAACGAATAATTTGTGTGGCGCATATATATTTGTTGCCTCATTGTACCAATGTTTATGTGTTTAAATAAATAAATAACTTTTATGCCAGTGAATAATTACGACATTCGATTTCCAAAAGTTTCATTAAGAAGGTGTGATAGGTGACATCAATCAACTGAATTATAAATAGATAATGTGAAGATATGTTACACGTCACAAGAGTTGAAAATTCTGTAGTCGATTCTAATATGGTCTTGTGGACGTGCATCAATGAGTAAAGATTGTTTGTCACTAGTGTACGGAGTTTGTGGAGATTTTCAATTTTTAAAATTTACATTACAGATTAACCTTAATCAAGCAATCATTGATGACCGTGAAGAACTAGGCAGATGTTTCGTTTTGGTATGGATGTCTCAACACTTTTCATCTACAACTCTATTGGGGATCGAACTCGTAAATTGGTAGTAACTATATGTTCATTAGTAACCTGTTTCGAAAGGTAACTTACGGAGTTCTGGTAAGTAATTATGATCGATCGAGCTTAACAATTTCAAATGTGAAGTGGTCACTTACCAGTGGCATTGAAAAATCGTTAAGCGATATAGTAAATTCCCTAAACTTGTAATTATAAACCATTGGGTCCTAACTCCATAACCTTAAAGTTAAAGTTTAGTTGAAAGACCTGGAGGTTTTGGGTTCAGAATCTAATGGAATTGTGGATGCACACTACCACTGAGAAATCCAATTCTACAACGAAATATCTTTAAAGCCCTTCCTGATTTTATAACTATAGTCAGTTCATGATTTAAATCCGATTTGTCAAATAACATTAGGGCAACATAACAGTGTTTAAATTCACAATCTAAGCGTTGTGTTTAGCTATTGTTTGAGGCTTCTACTAACATATACACTTGCTATATGTTTGTCAAAAGCATACACTTGAATTAGGAAACCGAGAGTGAGTAAAGATCTTTTTATTGATTAGCCAAGCAAAAATTATCAGTACAACACATTTCGAGTCGTGTTGGGTGTCAGATGGTTATCCATCGCAGGCGATCGATGTGGGTTGTGAGATATCGTGAATTGAATAAAGGTAAACATGAACACCATTTGATGCCGGCTCAGCAGACTAAATTTTATTCGTTTGCGCGTGAGACCAGAGGTCGTGGGTCCAAGTCCTACACGCAAGATCGTAGATTCGTGTCGCTGAGGAGTCCAGTACTACGATCAAACAGCTACGCAGTGCCTCTAGATTTCGAATGTTTGTTTAGCTAAGATAGTCCGGTGATTTGAATTGCTCAAAGTCTGTAAATTCTGCAAACCCCATATACTAATACATCTATCTCCTAGTATGGGACTTTCCAGCAGTGCATATCCACAATCCCTCACATGAGACTCGAACCCAGGACTTGCGGTCTCAGGCGCAAACGTTGGACCTCGAGGCCACTGTTTCGCTTAGAAAGTTTGTCAAATTTTAAACCCATAGTGTACTTGTGTCTCTTCAGGAAAAGAACTCAAATCTTTACTAATAGTGTGTATTCGTCCAAATCTCATACTTACCAATGTGCTTAGGTCTACGTTGTCCAACTTCTTATTAAGAAAGGTTTATCGAATTGATATGGACGTGGTATACTCTGTAAGGGCTTACTAATACGAATCCTCTACGTTCACAGTACTAACACACCACAATAATACTCGCTTCACTGGATACAGTTCAAAGAAATATTTGGGCATAAACTAATGTGAATTAGATTTCAGATTCAGATTTCAGATTTGTGTAGTAAGGACAGAAGGCCTACGGCCTATGTTATTCCTTTTCTAGTATACTTCTGTGAGTGTCCAGTCTTCTCTTGAAAGTGTTAATTGAAGGTGCGGACACCACTGCTTCGGGCAGCAGGTTCCAAGTATTGATGACTCGGTGTGAAAACCTGTATGCCACAAAAATCGAATTTTATCGATCCATCGGGAATGTGGCCATAGTCCAATACTGTGTGCTCTGTTGAGAAGTTATAATTATGAATAAGTTAAGAAAAGTGAACACAAGTTTTTAAACAGTGACTAGTTGACATTCATATTTATTTTCAAATGTTGACAAACGATCCCACTATGGTGTATGCTACTTATATTTGCAGATATAAGTAGTATGTAACATTGGTCAGAAGTCGAATCTCTATGAGCAGAAAGTTGAGAAGATTAAAATGAAGAGAAGAGATGAGGAAAACTGAAAACAATCTAGATAACAACAGGAATGAAGGAACGGCGAAGCTTGTAAAAACAACATCGAAGTAGATGTATTTAATGTAAGATTTTCACATTTTACTAAATTACTCTGTGATAATGCATGAGACAATAATCTAGTTTCCCCCACCTAAGTGTTCATTCACTATACCGTTACCATGATATCTACTTTCATAGACAAATATATTCAATCCATAAATTCTACTGTAGTCATCTCTTGTTTCCTTACATAATAAAGAATGAGTTGGGAGTTTTGTTCACTGAGATGAAGCATTCATGAAGTGTTCTTGGTTCTTTTGAACATCGAAAACTTCACAACCAAACAAACAATCCAGTTCATTGAACTAAACTTCAGTAAAATGATCCAACCTTAATCACAAATCTTCTACACCATCTTAAGCATACGAATCAACACATGAGTGATACAAAAACGGTTAGTGGTGAAAATGTAGTTAAATCGTTAGAATTTCAGGGCACTGACTAAATCACTGAACTATTTGCCATAGTAACTATTCACATATTTTAACAATTTGTTTCTAGTATCTAACCAACTGCAATATTCACCTAATATACAGTGACTCTAACGTATTACCATGAGAAAAGAGACTATAAACTTTCAATGCAGAAACCATAATAGTGGGAAATACATATTAATAAGAATAACATTTAACTAAAATATTCAGTCTCTAATTCAAAAAACAAGTTTGCCTTCGATCAACATTGTGATTAAATGTATATCTTAAGGTTGAATTTACGAGTCGATCTAAACTTAGGCCATCACTGAAAACTTGGAAGCACTAGACGACCGTTTCGTCCTAGTATGGGACTTCTTAGAATTGCACATCCATGATTCAAAATTAAGACCTTCGATCTCACAGGCGAAGACTTAACCTCTTATCCGTTGAACAGGTATCCAACCGTGTTAAATTTGTAACTTCAATCAATCCATAATCTTGTGCAACCTCTCATCGATCGTCTGAGGTAAATAACTATCGCTACCCGGTACAAATTAAACTCTACTGGTCATGACTTCTCTCTTGAATCTAATGACTAGTGAGCATATGATTATTATTATTAGAATGGGGATTTATAAAGATTGTAGTATTTTCACACTTGATAGTGAATGTGTACTGCTGAGGAGTCTCATACTAGAACAAAACCACCGTCCAGTAATCTCAACTTCTTAATAGTGATCTAACATCGATTAATTCATGATCTCAATCCAAAACTTAACAAGAATGTGTACTATTATTTACCTTACCTGGAAATTTACGTGATCCAGATTTTACAAATCGAAATGATCCATTCGATCGAGGACTTGATGATCGTATAAAATGATCATTATTATTATTATTTAAATCGGATTGTATTGTTATTCGACTACCAGAATTCATATTCTTTACATTCTCCTTATGTATAATTGTAATATTATCTGTATTAGGTTTTGTATCATTTACAATATGAGTTACATTAGATGATGGTGATATTGTTGTCACTACTAGTGTTCTCGCTGCGGTTGCGGCTGCTGCTGCTGCTGCTGCTGCCGCTGTCGCTGTTGTTGTTGTTATAATATTAGAAGATATTGTTGAACTACTATTCACACTATTAATTACTTTATGATTTTTTATTTTAGATTGTCTCATCCATGCTGGTGCATCATATAATAAATAATCCACTATTGGTGATGATGGTTCCGTTGATTTCATCATGAATTCATTTGATTGTCTATTTGTTATTATTGGTGATAATCTAGATCCTAATTCATTACTATGAATAGTACGTTTAGTGTATGTTTCAATAATATTATCATTTATATTATTATTATTATTTCCGAGATCTTTTGATGATACAATTCTAGGATGAGTTGAAGTGAACAATGGTGTTGATGAGAATAATGATGATGATGATGATGGAATAGGTTCTTTAAAATAACTCCTTGTATATCCATCTTGATCAATAATAGGTAATGTAGATTTCGTTGTAATAGTTGGAGTTGTTGATGAATTCATTAAATGACTTGTATATAGTTTACTTTCCATTCTACTTGCTTGACTAGCCATTCACTATATAGATGTAGATATATATATATAGATATAGATATAGATAGATAGATAGATAGATGGATGTATATTTAATTATTCATTCAATAGTAATGATACGAATACTTGTCATTCATTCTGAATAAAAGAATTCATCATCATTATTATTATCATTATTGTGATGTACATGATCAGTAATACATCTCTATACATCTTTACATCTACATACATTGGCATAGTTACTAATTGTAATGTTTACAGTAGTATTAGTAGTATTGATAGTAGTAGTATTAGTAGTAGTAGTACAGTAGTACAAATGGATGCTGTAAATAGAATAAAGATTTAGAAAGAAGTGATATATATATAGATAGATAGATATGTGTTACGTAATCCACAATGGTTACCTATTAAAACGTTGATGAAATGAAATGAATTCTATTTCTATTATAATAATAATCAGTAGTATTTGATAATCCAAGAAGAGTTAATGTATGTCATTGTTATATCAAGTGATTATATATTTAGGTTCAATAATAAGATCAAATGAATAGGCGTAGATACAATATACACCATACACCATACACCATACACATACAGACAGATCTATCTAACTGCACTATGTATACACAAACAAACACAAACACAAACACACACACACACACAAAGAATTTAGTATCTATGATCATCAGATGATATTATAGGTCTAGAATGATCTATATACTTCATAAACTTCAGCTTATTGGTATCGATAATCTTGAACTCATAGTTGTATGTTTTTTTTTTGTGTTTTCGGGTCTTCACAAATAAACACACACACACACAATCATAATTCTAATTGGTTATTACAGTTAAAATTCTATTTGTATGTTTGTCCCGAAATTTTTCTTTAAAAATCTTTTCTATTACTTAGTAGTCATGTGAGTTCTATTCAGTATCATTAGGTAACTAATAGAACAATAGAAAGAGTACAATGTACTTTTAAATAGTGGTATAATGATTAGCACCCCTCGCACAAACATGCACAAACACACACACACACACGCATACATATATGCACGTACACTTATACAAAAGGTGTCATTCATCTGTTTTCTGTACAACAACAACAACAAAATCAGAAACTTATTCTAACAATTTTCGTCAGTATTAATAGTTTAGTGTTAGTACTTTACAGTACACCCACAAATAGTTGATACAATCACATTTATTATTGATTGATCAAAAGTAATTTGCACTAATAAATCAATAATGTTGATGAAATTCAGTTTAAACATTAATTGAATATTATAATGGAATAATAAAGCCTGTTACTTGTCGTGAACGAGCATACGCCGCTCACCAACATTCTGCATCCAACCCTATCCTCAACAATCCTTTCCAGTTCTTTCCAGTTGTTATTCATCCTTTTCATATCTGATTCTATTTCCCGATGTATTGTGTTCTTTGGCCTTCCTCTTTTACGCTTTTCTTCAGGATTCTATTTTAATGCTTGCCTTGTAATACAGTTTACTGATTTCCGTAATGTATGTCCTATCCGTTGCCAAGGTCTTTTCCTAATTTTTTCTTCATCTAGACACTGGTTTGCTCTTTCCCACAGAAGGCTATTACTGATGGTATCTGGCCAATGTATGTGGAGTATCTTCCGTAGACAACTATTTATGAATACTTATACCTTCTTGATGATGGTTGTAGTAGTTCTCGAAGTTTCAGTTCCGTACAGCAGATCTGTTTTGACTTTCGTATTGAGGATTCTCACTTTGATATTGGTTGACAGACAGTTCTTTTGAGTTCCATATGTTCTTCAATTGTAGGAATGCGGCCCTTGCTTTGCGAATCCTCGCCTTTACGTCTGCATTTTATCCTCCTTGTTCATCGCTGATGCGTCCCAGGTACGTGAAGGATTCTATCTCTTCCAGAGCGGCGAGACTATAATTTATGAACGACCTTTGAACGAATCTTAAGTAACCCTGAGAAATATTAGCCAATCATCAAACAGTCAGTATTGAGTAAAAATATATTATACAAAATCAAAGAAAGAAAGTGGATACACTTCTTATACGTGGTTCAAAAACTTGTCAAGGTTAGAAAGAGGTTCAAAGGTTCTAAAATCGTAATGTATGCAGTAGAGGAAATCATCCATACGGCGGCTACAGAATAGTCGGCCTCTGGAGCCATGATAAAGTCTCAAAAACTCTTTCAGCCTCGACCACATAGCTTCAATATTGTTTATGTGCACTCCGGTTGTTGAGTGCACAAAATGCTACTTTCGGATAACGACATGATGCACATAACCAAGCCTATGTAGGAGTCTGTACGCTCTCCAGTCATCCGTATATATTGTAGTACCTGGATGCAGCCAGTGTTACTGGTGCTTTTATTATCCAGTTCGCAATAATTGTCATAATTCGCCTTAGTTAGGAATTATATATGGGGTTTTCATGACGAACTGACATCAGCTATAATGCCAGAAATTTATTTAGCCAAATGGATGAATGTCTTTCGCGCCAAAATACAAGATCTGTTATCTTAGACCTGATTGATTCGTTCACAAATTATAGTCTCGCCGTTTTATTTGTTATAGCCGCTCAATTATCACGTATTGTACAAAATTCCCTGTGAACCGATCGTACGTTAGCATTAAACACTGACGTCGGCGCCATGACCTTGAAATCTCTCAAACGCTTCTGATTGTCTCGTCCATCAATTAGAATCTCGCCTCCAGAGCTTCTTCATCAAGTGTGATTGGGTTGGTGTTCTCCATGTTGTATTTAGGGATGTTACTTTTTCCTTTGAGGCCTACTGATACAGAGGCTGGTGCTACACTAGTTGTCTTCATCTACATTTGTTCATGTGTATGGGATCGGAGGGCTAAGTTATCTGCGAAGTTCGAATTGTCTAATCGGTTATAATTGTCTATGTACTACCTATAAATGTTTAGACTTGCTCAAGCCATTCTACTGATTTGGTCATCCTATGGTGTTTTAAGTGCCCAATGTCCTGCTTGTGAATTCAGGCAGTCCTAAAAATCAATGGGAAGATTCAAGTAAACAGTACTATGTGAACATAATGAAACAGTTCATTTGTCCAAATCTTTTAGCGGGATTTTTCCCTATCAATTTGACCTTGTATATTAAAGCGCAAATATGAATATATATATGTCTATATATTCAATGTTCAACTGTGTCTTGTTTATAAACAAACCATGTTCATTTCAACCATTTGATGACATAACAAGTCTCATTCATATGATTCTTAAATTTAATCAATTCATTCATCAACAAATCGATCCGACTACTTTATGTGGATTACACGTAATGCCTTTGTGACTTTAAACTTTCTGCTTAATAGTAGTAGTAGTAGTAGTAATAGTCAGTAAATTGATATACATGAAAAAGGTTGTTTACATTCATTGCCAGGTAACAACAAAAATGCAAATTAATGTCGGATTTATCGATTGAGTGCACAGGAGGTATTTAAAGATAGATGTATGAATAGATAGATAGATAGATAGATAGATAGATAGATAGATAGATAGATAGATAGATAGATAGATAGATAGATAGATAGATAGATAGATAGATAGATAGATAGATAGATAGATAGATAGATAGATAGATAGATAGATAGATAGATAGATAGATAGATAGATAGATAGATAGATAGATAGATAGATAGATAGATAGATAGATAGATAGATAGATAGATAGATAGATAGATAGATAGATAGATAGATAGATAGATAGATAGATAGATAGATAGATAGATAGATAGATAGATAGATAGATAGATAGATAGATAGATAGATAGATAGATAGATAGATAGATAGATAGATAGATAGATAGATAGATAGATAGATAGATAGATAGGTAGGTAGGTAGGTAGGTAGGTAGGTAGATCTATAGAGAGCAACGTCATTGAAGGAAATCTTATTCCTCATTCAACGAGATTCATTGTTGAAATATTTTCCCACGATGTTAGATTTTCATTGATTTTCTGATTGATATGATGAATAGTATCTTATAAATATCTGGAATTTTTACATTAAAAGATCTTAGAAAACATACCGTCACTATTAAGAATGAAGAAGTTTACATATTGTATTATTTACTTACTTAATTATGCATGTTACCCTTCATGGAGGAGCATAGGCCGCTCACCACCATTCTTCATCCAATTCTGTTCTGGTCAATCCCTTCCAGTTTATATTCCTTCTTTACATGTCTGTTTCCACGGCTTGACGAAGTGTGTTCTTTGGTCTCTTTTCCTTTCGCCTTCAGGATTTAAAGTTAACGCTTGCTTCGTAATGCAGTTTGATGATTTCCTCAATGTATGTCCTTTCCACTTCCAACATCTTTTCCCAATTTTCTCTTCATATGAAAGTTGGTTTGTTCTCTCACATAGTACGCTGTTTTTGATGGTATCCGGTCAACGGATATCGAGTATCTTGTGTAGACAATTGTCTATAAATACTCGTATTTCTTTAATGATGGTTGTGGTATTTCTCGAAGTCCCGGCTCCACACAGTAGAACTATTTTGACGTTCGTATTGAAGAATGTGACATTGATAATTTATAACAGACATTTGTTTTAAGTTGCATATGTTTTTCAATTGTAGGAATGATGTCGCTGCTTTGTCAATTCTCGCCTTTACGTCTGCATCAGATCCTCCACTCCTCCTGTAGCTCTTCTAGGGCTACTGCCGGTATCAAGCCCGGGTAAAGAAAGAGGATTGGGTATAGGATCAGTAAGCACATCCCGTAGAAAACAACTTTGCTAAAAAACGGTAACCAGAATCAACAAGTTAAATCGTATTATTTAATCACAATAGAATTACATTTACGGGACGTGTATACGCTTTTGTGAATAATATACCATGTGACATTATAAATTCCAATCCATTATACGTTGTCAATTACGATGATTCAGATATATATATATACATAGATGATGTATTACTTAACGTGATGTAATAGTCTTGGCATAGAGCATAGCCAAAATGATATTACTAATGAAATTAGAACAGAGTATCACATAATAACTAACCCTATAGCAACAGTTTCAATTACCAATATAGGATTGTAGAGATTAATCCATTTTACTGATATCACGAACTGGTTTAAGGTAGATAACTATTTGACACTTGAAGACAAAGGATAACTGTTTCGTCCTAACATGGGACTCTTCAGTAATACATGTCCACAAACCACCAGCCAGGAGTCGAACCCAGGATCTTAGTTTTGGGAAAAGTGTCATTTATATAAATGATTGCATTAACAATACAATAGTGAGACATCTCAGTAGT